AATAACCACTGTTAGTGTTTTCCTCCACTATCTTTCCAGGATTCTTCTATTCACTCACTCATTAAACAAGCCTGGAGCTTGTTCCTCTGTGGTCCTCTTACTGGGCCTAGAGAAGCAAACAAAACTGAAAGCTCTGCCTTCATCAAGCTCACCTAGAGCGACAAACACAAGACACACAGACAAGTAACATGGGTGGTATGGAGGACGGCGCGAGTACTCTACATTAAAGTTCATCAGAGAACGTGGGCAGGGAGTGTGGGAGAGAGGCCGGTTGCTTTCTAAACACTGGGTTCTAGGAAGGCCTCGCTGTTAAGTGGATTCGGAGAGTCGCCTAAAGAAGGTAGATCAAGTGCTTCTACCTGGAGCAGGGGTCTTCTGGGCAGAGCTAATAGCCCATGCAAGGGCTTAAACTAGCTTCGGGCTTGGCGTGCTTCGTGAAAGAAAAGCCAGGGCACCGGGCAGAGTGAGTGAAGCGAAGGGTTCACAGAAGGCAGAAAGGTGGCGAGGGGGCCAGGTCCTCATAGAACCCTGTAAGGTCCTTGGCTTGTACTTTGAGTAAGATGGAAGCCATCCTTGAGTTCACAGCCATGGAATGATGTCACCTGGCTTACGTTTTAAAAGGACCACTCTTGGCTGGTCGGTGGTCTCATGCCTGTGAATCCTAGCACTCCTGGCGGCGCCGAGGCGGGGCGGATTGCTCAGTCAGAGAGTTCGAAACCACCTGAGCAAGATGCGAACCCGTCTCTAAACTTAAACTAGAAAGAAATTAATTGGTCAACTGTATCGAATAATGGAAAAATGTAGCCCGGGCATCCGGATGGCCGCATGCCTGTAGTCCCAGCTACCTCCCCGGGAGGCTGAGGCCAAGGAAGGCGATCGCCTGAGGCCCCCAAGCGAGTTTGAGGTTGCTGTGGCGCTAGGCTGGAGACGCCCCATGGCCCATGCTCCACCTCTACGGCCTCGCGGCAACCAAAGTGACGACCTCTGTCTCAAAGAAAAAAAAGAAAAAAGAAAAGGACACTCTTGATCTTGCGTGTTGGAAATAGTACTTTGGGCGCGGCGGAAGGGCAAAGGCAGAAAGCCCAGAGAGAGCCATGACATGAAAGCGTACGCTGGTGCACAGAGACGGTGCGCAAGAAGCGACATCCCATCCTGGGCGCTATTTCGCCAGAGTCAAGGACGGGGGCCCGAAGAGATTTGGAGCTCAAGCCCACTGGACCGGCCTGGACAGTGGCGGCTTGGCAGCTCGCGCCTGAAGTAGAGAGGCCTGAGAAGAGGTCGGCATTCAGCCAAGGGGACCATAAACTGAGCTTGGAAATTTTCTCTCCCTTTTATTTTCTGTTATTTAACAAATGCTAGACAAACAAAAACTCGGACACGTTTACTCCGTAAGCTCAGACGCTTCAAGGCAGGTACGGGTGAGAGACTGCGAAGAGAACAACTCAAAGAAGTTTAGGCACCGCCCAGGCCCCATCTTCTCCAACAAGTTTGGCCTGGTCAAACAGGAATCTTGGGGGACGAGCACGGGACAAGGGACCTGGCGCGGCGACGGAACTCGGGTCCGGACTCCGCCGGCGCCGTGTGCCGGCTCCCTCCTTGGCCCCGCGGGCGGAAAACGCCGGACAACACCGGCCGACA